TACATCACAAGGAGGAGCTCTCAGTCCCATGCTATTTCTAGGTACACCACAAGGAGGAGTTCTCAGTCCCGTGCTATTTCTAGGTACACCACAAGGAGGAGTTCTCAGTCCCGTGCTATTTCTAGGTACACCAGAAGGAGGAGTTCTCAGTCCCATGCTATTTCTAGGTACACAAGGAGGAGTTCTCAGTCCCGTGCTATTTCTAGGTACACCACAAGGAGGAGTTCTCAGTCCCGTGCTATTTCTAGGTACACCACAAGGAGGAGTTCTCAGTCCCGTGCTATTTCTAGGTACACCACAAGGAGGAGTTCTCAGTCCCATGCTATTTCTAGGTACACAAGAAGGAGTTCTCAGTCCCATGCTATTTCTAGGTACACCACAAGGAGGAGTTCTCAGTCCCATGCTATTTCTAGGTACACCACAAGGAGGAGTTCTCAGTCCCATGCTATTTCTAGGTACAGAAGGAGGAGTTCTCAGTCCCGTGCTATTTCTAGGTACACCACAAGGAGAAGTTCTCAGTCCCGTGCTATTTCTAGGTACACCACAAGGAGAAGTTCTCAGTCCCGTGCTATTTCTAGGTACACCACAAGGAGGAGTTCTCAGTCCCGTGCTATTTCTAGGTACACCACAAGGAGGAGTTCTCAGTCCCGTGCTATTTCTAGGTACACCAGAAGGAGGAGTTCTCAGTCCCATGCTATTTCTAGGTACACAAGGAGGAGTTCTCAGTCCCGTGCTATTTCTAGGTACACCACAAGGAGGAGTTCTCAGTCCCGTGCTATTTCTAGGTACACCACAAGGAGGAGTTCTCAGTCCCATGCTATTTCTAGGTACACAAGAAGGAGTTCTCAGTCCCATGCTATTTCTAGGTACACCACAAGGAGGAGTTCTCAGTCCCATGCTATTTCTAGGTACACCACAAGGAGGAGTTCTCAGTCCCATGCTATTTCTAGGTACAGAAGGAGGAGTTCTCAGTCCCGTGCTATTTCTAGGTACACCACAAGGAGAAGTTCTCAGTCCCGTGCTATTTCTAGGTACACCACAAGGAGAAGTTCTCAGTCCCGTGCTATTTCTAGGTACACCACAAGGAGGAGTTCTCAGTCCCGTGTTATTTCTAGGTACACCACAAGGAGAAGTTCTCAGTCCCGTGCTATTTCTAGGTACACCACAAGGAGGAGTTCTCAGTCCCATGCTATTTCTAGGTACACCACAAGGAGAAGTTCTCAGTCCCGTGCTATTTCTAAGTACACCACAAGGAGGAGTTCTCAGTCCCATGCTATTTCTAGGTACAGAAGGAGGAGTTCTCAGTCCCATGCTATTTCTAGGTACACCACAAGGAGAAGTTCTCAGTCCCATGCTATTTCTAGGTACACCACAAGGAGGAGTTCTCAGTCCCGTGCTATTTCTAGGTACACCACAAGGAGGAGTTCTCAGTCCCGTGCTATTTCTAGGTACACCACAAGGAGGAGTTCTCAGTCCCATGCTATTTCTAGGTACACAAGAAGGAGTTCTCAGTCCCATGCTATTTCTAAGTACACCACAAGGAGGAGTTCTCAGTCCCGTGCTATTTAATGTCTGGATGATGTTCTAACTACTTCACAAACTTCACCTAAACATACAGCTAAAAGCTATGCTGATGACATCATGACCTATACAACAGGGCAGAGGAAAATGAGTACCACTTAAAGAAGTTCTAGTTGTATGTAAACGACTTAGGCTCTATTATATCATCTAAGACAGACATTTACAAGCAAATGACCTCTCGCCTCAACCATTTGTTTGTATGTCTGTACTAAGAGATGTGTAATATTCAGCTAGGCTAAATCTTACAGATCTCCTGGTACAGACGCACATACACTCCAGTATATCCACCACATCACAACTACAGTAATTAAGCTGGATGACTTTGGTGAGTTTAGCGCTTACTTTTGATTTTAATAATAAGGTTAATAAGAAATACAAAGATATTCTAAATGCTCTTAGAACTTTATGTGAACAAGACGTAAAATGCACATTATGACACTTTATTATGAAGATGTTTCGCCCACCAGGGAAAACTTTATCAGTTTACAGCTCTTAGAGCTGTTAAGTAAGTTTATTTAGGTACAGTTATCATACACAGTAACATACGTGTAAATTATCCTTCAGGGTAACCCCAAAAAAAACCGTCAGAATTATTTCCACTAGGATCCTTCCTGGTTACAACCTAATCTATAATAATAATAATAATAATAATAATAATAATAAATTATTATTATTATCTTATACAGACCATAGCTGACATCACGGACATACTACTATATAGAAAGACATTTATTATGCTGAACATTTCAGGGAAATTAGGTCAATTTTGTCTTCAGGATGCCACCCACACCAGTTAACTAACACCCAGGTACCTATTTACTGATGGGTGACTGTCAGAGGAATACAGTTTTTTTTTTTTTTGGCTACGTAAGAACTCTGCTTGCAGCAGTCCACCATCCAGGTCATTCCTCTTTCAATTTGCGTGCGTGTGCGTGTCCATCACTGACTGAACCTTGGCATACCGTAGGCAAGTTACCTGTTACCTCTGCTGGATTACTGTATCCACACAGGTCAACCTTATTACACCGGCCACAACGGTACGCTTGTAGATCACTGTTACCCTTGGATGCTACACTTATCATCCAGGTACATTTGCTGATCAGTTACTATGGGAATGCCAC